TGGGCTGCTGCTGCCCAGTGTCCCAGAGCAGGTGGGATCCCACTGCTCTTCAAGAGATTCAGGCTGTGATCCGTGCGGGGCTGCTGCTTGCTGCATGCGGCCAAGAGGCCTCCGGGTCCCTCAGCTCCTGGTGATGGGGAAACATCATTTGCCACTTGCATGCTTCTCTCTGCAGACTGCCATCTCACTGACATCCCCTTGCACAACAGCTCTGGCTGTGAGTGCTGTGGCCGAGGGCTGCGCTGAGCTGCCCGGCACGGCTCAGGGCACCCGCTGCAATGGAAGATGGGATGAGAGATGCAGGAACACTGGTCCCATGCAATGGCCCTGTCAGCCTGTGAAGCTCGCTCTCACGAGACAGGGCTTGGCAACAGCACTGGAACGAGCTCGGCCAGGCTCTGCCATGGAGCAGCCAACCTCTCCTTCCTGCAGTGTCATCCAGCCACACTGGTGGGACCAGCTGCTGACTGCTCGTGGCCTGGAACCGCTTCCCATCTTGCTGGATTATTCCTCTGCCAGCCAGTCCGCACTGCTGGGTCCCTCCTCCAGGCGTGTGGGGGTCCTTACCGGGACAAACACAGCTCCAGAGGGGCTGCAGGATCCGCCTGGACATGTCTATGCTCCTCAAGAGGTGAAAAGCTCTGAGGTGCCCAGGCAAGAGCTCACAGGGGCTGTGCCTTCTCCTTCCCCATCCTGCTGCCCCAGCTGGCTCTTTGCATTAGCATTCATGGCAGCTTTGTTCATGCTTCGAGGGGAACACAGAACCCCATGCTGCTGCTGTGAAATGCAGAGCTCCGAGACATGCGTCTGTGGTAAGACATGGTCTTTTGAAATTGGATACCACTGGGGCTGCAATGTCCCAGTTTCTCTCCACTAACGTCCCCGGTTTGGTTTTCCCGTCTGCTTTTTTGGCCGCCTGCAAGTTGGCAGTTCTTGCCTGGCGTTTCTCTTTGCTGCCTTGTGTGAGAGTGCGTGTGCTTTTTCCTTCCTTCGTGGGCTCAGCTGTAGATCCTTGTTCTGATTCCATGCAAAATGGCCTAGAAAACTAATTCTTTTCAACCCATTGCAAGAAGAAAAAAAATAAGGGATGGGGGGAGAAAACACATTTAACCAATTTTCTAGGAGACTTTTTTTTTCCGGAATTCAAACCCCAGAAATCTGCACTAGTGCAACACTTCACATCTCCCTTACCTTCTTTCCCACACTGTTTTCTGGGGTGAGGAGCTGGAGGTTTGCAGACATCCAGTGGCCATGTCATGACAGACAAGTATTTCCTTCATCAAGACAGCCAAGTGACCTCTATTACAGCCTAGGATGTGGGCGAGGCTGTGATCTGTAGATAAGCTCTGAAAATGTTTCCATTACCAAAAGAAAACAAGCAGGCACCAGGCTTGGAAATGGCCAGAGCTAATTGCTGTGCTTAGGAAAGGTAAAGCTGCCCCGATGCACTCGGAACGGTGCCTGCTGCTGCTGCAGTTATTCTTTTCACGTGTCTCAAATCTCCCCTAATCTTTTCCCGTTGACTGAGAAAAATCTCTGTGTTGGCGGATCCTGGTGCTACGGGTGTCCGTGCTCCCAAGGCCCAGCTCAGCTCGCTGAATGCCCAGGCAGGGACCCCCCTGCCTCCTCCTCCTCCTCCTCAGTGCCACGGGCCAGTTCTGCTCCCATCCCAGACGAGATCCATTCCCAAGCCGGGAGCTTACCCGTACAGATCTGCTCCTGACTGCAGTGTTCAACTTCTGGCAGATTTGGTTAAAATTTGCTCAGTGTCCAGGCCCTTCCCTCTGCCCTTTGCATTTCTCATCATAGGCCCATGTACCCGTGACTGCCAAGTATTTCCTTCATTTTGAGCTTCCCAAAAAAAGAGTTTGTCAGATTTATTCTTTCTCACCCGCTCCCGGTGTCACGTGGGAAGCAACACCCTGCCTGGGCCGGCCTCAAGGAGTTATTTATGCTCACGTCTGTGCTTTAAGCACAGAGCTGCGGTGGGCATGTAATCTGGCTCTCCTCAACTTTGTAGTCTCTCAGCCCATTAGTTTCTTTCTTATATCCGTTTGCAAAAGACCTCTATAAATTCTTTAAATGTCAAGTGGTTACAGCCTATTCCCAGCTGGGCTGACTCATTTGGACGTAACTGAGGTTGCATTTCCCTTGAAGCTATTGGCTTTTTCTCCATCCTCAGCACTTTTTTCTTTTTGGTGAGTTTTTCTCTTGCCTTGCTGGACACGGGAGCTGAGCCAGCAAAGCACTGCAGGCATGTCTTAACCCATACACGAATCACCTCTTCAGCCTCTCAAGTACATGTCCAAGAGTTTTCTTTTTAATCCAAAAGGATTAAAGGTCTCCTGAGGCCTTGGACTCAAGGGATGGGGTTGAGGGATTATCCTCAGTCTTGGCTTGCTCTGTCGCCATCCTCTTGGCTGAGCCCAGGCAGGAGCAACTGAATCCCACGGTGCTTTCAAGGCCGCTGGGAAGTGAGGCAGCAGGAGGTTTGAATCCAGCTCCTAAAAAAACCCCACAGTAGGTCATCACAGAACAACGCTGCCAGAGCCAACAGCAATTGCTGGTCTTGTTGACACCCTCTGTGGAGGGATGGATGGAGTAAGGCTTGGATTAGTACCCTGGGCTCTGGCCAAGGTCTTGCCTCAAGACAGTCCCGCTGATGTGGTGGCCCGGGAAGCCACTGTGGCCACGAGAAGGGCACTCTTGCAAGCACAGACCCAGGCAGTGCTGAAGCCCCTGGCTTTAACGCCCCACGCACCAGGCATGCTCCTCCGTCCACCACAGGCCCCAGTAAAGCTCCGTGTTCCGCCCCTGCCGATGGACCTCAAAGGGGAGCCAGGACCGCCAGGAAAGCCCGGCCCACGTGGACCCCCCGGCCCTCCCGGCTACCCAGGAAAGCCAGGCACAGGGAAGCCAGGAATGCACGGCCAGCCCGGGCCCGCTGGGCCCCCTGGTTTCTCGGGCATTGGGAAACCCGGCATCCCAGGACTCCCTGGAAAGGCGGGTATGAAAGGGATGCCTGGAGCCAAGGGCGAGCCT